AAGTCCCAGCTGCTCGACCAGCAAACATCATACGAGAGTATCGTATTAATCCATATGCGCTGGATAAGGAACCTTCGTGGCCTTACTTCAAAGCAAGGTAACAGATCTACCAACTTCCGCTTCAGCGAACACCGGTAGATTGTGAGAGCGTGCTTTACTACTTTGCCACCATCTTTGAGTTTTTCATCCCATCACCTTGCAGAAGGAGGCTGCACTAGCGGAAGCCGCGCGCGCTCATGCTGTGCTGGAGGATCAGATCGGCGCCCTGCAGCAAGCCGCGGCCTCCTACAACAAGATCGCCTTGACTAGGGTGAGAGCCGCGCCTGCCCGTCTCTCACGTTTTCACAAGTTTTCTTTGCCTCCACTGTCATCCGACCTGGCAGTTGCACGTCCGATGTAAGGTTCTTCGTGATAGTATCTCGATTCTCAGCCATTCGCGGTTTGCGCACGACTGCCATTTCTGCTTCTGTCATCTCGGCAGCACCTCGTTCAGGCTACGAACTTTTGAAAGTTCTCGAGGGCGTCTCTGTTTGTGTACGATATTGAGCACGGCAATTTGGAGGGAATGCTGGCAGTCAAAATTTTGCTGTTGCGAGATGAAGGATCGCGTTATTAAAAGCTTCGTGTTCAAGTCATTTTTTTGAGCCTGATCAACAAATCCAGTTGTTTGTGTTATCTTCATGCATAGTGGAACCGTACAGGCCCCATTAACGATTGAAAGTTGATATCGCCGCGGCGTTTTATCATGTCTGAACCGGCGAGTCTCATGACAGTGTCTGAAGAATATTTTCTCAGAATCTACCATAATCAGTCCGATCAATATGCCCTGCGCTGTTGCGCGCTCTTTATCGGGTCAAAAGTCCGGCCGGGCTTGCGACAATAACATGGCGTTCAACGTCAGAACGATCTTCCACACTATGACAAAACGGTGTGCACCAATAACTTAGAATGTTCCCTAGTAGGGATTGCGCCGCGGGTGACCACCTTGTTTGGAAACGTAAACGTCAATGTGCATATTTTCATGCAGATAGCAGCTTTTCAAGCGATCCTTCTCGTAGCCGACCCCAAGTCTGCTATCGCCGCAAAGGTGAGACCGAATCTGGAAAAACTGTGCTTTGTGGCCCCAAGTCACGGAAAGATGCTCGAGCGCGAGTTTCGCGACTCGTGACTTGATCTTCCTTGTATTGCCTGAAATCTGATAGTGAGGGTGATTGGCGGGCCCTGCTAAGCTCTCACAAAGAAACGTCATTGCGAGTTCAACGGCTAGCTTGTGTCCTGGCGACAACGTAGCGCTTGGTCGGTACGTCTGTCACTTGAAGCTTTTGGTATTAAGTTGTAAGCGGGAATAAACCAATGGATCCCAGACTATCTTCAACCTTAAAGAGGATGTTGTGGGACATGCCCCACACGGCGACCAGATGCCCGAGATTCCACTCGTGCAGTCGCTCGCGAAAGCCACGTGGGCCAACTTCTAGCGACGGGCATTCGATGCGCATTAAGTTAGATGTCGCCGCGAGCCACTTGCAGTAGACGCCCCCTAAAAGAAATTGGTCGATTCTAGTTCACATCAGACCCACAGCCGGCGTCCGAAAGGACGGTGGGAACGAAATTCCATATCTTGACAACGTTCGAAGATGGAAAACCAAGCTTTTCAGCCCGTCCCGGTCTTTTGTTATGCCTAAGAGCACAATTCTGCGCGGGGCGTTCTTGGCAGTGCCGGAAGCTGGGAGCTGGAAGAACGGACAACCGTCTGGTCATGGTTCTATTGGAATCAGCAAGAAAGTTGAGTGCGATGGTTATGATACGCACAGCGCGTATCCGGCGGGTTCATTTATGTGCTTGTCTGCGTTCCCGACTGCCACATCGGAACACGCTTCTTACTCCTCCAGGACCTGTCAGAAGTCGCTATGGCGCAAGCGGGCGCAACGGGAGAGGCCTGGGAGGGCGAGGCGGGTCGCCTTGAACAGAAGCCGCCGGTGCAGCGCACGGTAAGGCCGCGTGTCCGAGCTAATGTCAACACGTGGTCTAACTTACAGCGTCTGCAGTATGCAGCTTTGTACACGCTGTTTGCACCGGTGTGGTTGTCAATCTCATACTGAAACCCGGCATAAAGTACCCAGTCAGGAAATCGATCAGTCGGTAGATTTTGTTGGGAGTCTGGGTGGCGAAGGAGAAGGCAAAAGAGGACTATCCGATCGCGAGGGCCTTACGGTAGAAAAAAGTGGCAGCTAACCAGGGCTGATGGTTACGGCCTGGTTGCCGCCTGGTTACTCCGATAACCAGACGGATAACCAGGCTCGGAACGAGGCTGATTAGCTGTTCAGGAGCCAGACTCCGGTTACTGGATAACCAGGCTACGGCCGGGCTTGGTTATCCTTCAACCAGGCCCGGACCCGGTCTGGTTATTAAGCAACCAGAAACGTAGTAACCAGACTCCGGGCCTGGTTATTCCGTTTGCCGGATAACCAGACCAGGAAGTAACCAGGCCGTAAGCAGCATGGAACCAGGTCTGAACCTTCAATGCAACACCAGATTTGGCAGTAAGCTGACGTCACCCGGCCAACGGAGTAGGGAATCGAGAGTCTGTCAGCGACAAGCAGAAGCGCATTTGGTAACTCATCGGCGGCGCGCAAATGTGGACTGGAGTAAGATTATGTCTAGTAGTAAACACTCAGAAGCTGTCACATTTCGCGAGGGCATCAGGCATACATACGGCAAGGGGCCGGGACCCCTCAGCTATGGAAGAACACGAACATGCTGTGGCGAACGGTTGTAAAACTCTGCGTGAAAAGCAATCCCGAGCTTTCAAGTTCTTGTTTTACATTTCGTACGAAAAGTGCACGCGGTTCGATGCCAAAACATATTCACTACTCTCTCGTTTTGATTTAAGTGTGGCCAGTCCTTGTCGTCTAATGGGATGCTTTCTGAAAGATGCTCTTGCTGATGTATCTTCCCTACGCCTTTCTCCTACTATCGTAACTGTCAACTAACTCCTAACTCGTTATTTTCAACTCGTATCTGGTTCCAGGGATCTCTTGTTTCATGTCCGTTTCCTTACGTTTGCATGATCCCAAGTGTGTCTCATTCAGCCGTACTTCAAGGCCCTTCTGAGGCACAGCGGATGCTGAAAGAGCGTGCGTCTTCTCGCATCGGCTTTGGCTCTCCTGTCTTTTGCGTTGCCGCTAGCGCGATACGTGCTTGCAGAAAAGCATGCACATGTTTGGCGCCAGGTTTGAGTCCTTTCCTGTTTTGAAGTGGAATGACTCTGGCCTGATTGTTTTAAGCAAAGCAAAACGCGAAGCTCGCTCATATTGCATCAAAGCATGCGTTTCTTGACTGTCGCCTGCGTACTTGCTCGTTGCCCTCCTTTTCTTCTCCTTCCGAAGACGGAAGAAGTATGTAATGCGAGAACTACACGCATAAACAGTGAGCCAGGCTGTAACCAGAATCTGATGCGCCTGGTTACTAATATAACCAGACTCTATCCTAACCAGGGTCGACCGAGCCTGGTTAGCGGATAAGCAGACTCGGCGGACCCTGTTTAGCCGTTAACCAGTCTCGACGACCCTGGTTGTCCGCAATAACCAGGCCTGAGCCTGGTAGTCCCTTACCAGACCCGGCCGGAGCTAATTACCGTTAGTAACCACCCTGGTTACGGCCGGGCTGCCCAGTCTAGTTACAAAGGCTGGTTCACTGCCAATTGAAACTGCCAGTTTAAACTTTCTTGTGATACAGCCTTACAACTCAGCGCAAAAAAAATGCGCGCGGTATCGAGTTGATCCGCACCACAGTGAAAGTTGCCCTAAAAAGAGTGGTTTGTTAAATGCTTGATCATATATAGGGCGCCCCGCCTGTCATGTCCTCTGATAGCGTATCAAAATCCTACTTTTTCCAACAGGTAGCCGTGGTGCGCGTCGGCCCCAACAAAATCGTTTGTCTGCCCCCGGAGACGACAGGCGCCGACGCCGCCCGAATGATGGAAGTGGGCTATGGTCCCGGACTTCTCCAGCGGCTGCCCGACAGCTTGACTGTTGTCAACACGTCGACAACGGCAGTCGGCGTGGCCGACTACATTTACGCCCGGCCCGGTAAGAAACATTTGTTTGCCTTTGATCAAATTGTAATCGTGGTGATTAGTTGAGTGGTAGAATGCTGACCTTTGAAAGAACTTCAACGTGGTGACTGCTTGGCCGATCAATTTCATTGCATGCTCGGATCCCCATTGCCAACGCCAACTTCTGCAAACACCGCGGTGACGGAATCCAAGATCGATCCTGATTGTTTGATCCATTCTCAAGCATCTTCGGCGCTTCAGCCCCTGCATGAAGGTCGGCGACCTTCAAACTATCGTCTTGAACCAACATCAAACTGCGGATGACAATTCGTTTAGAACTTTAGAAGCATATGCCCCAAGTCGAAGTGTGGCCCCGGTTCGAAATTCTTTCAGAACAAAATGCAACACCGCGCAGTCTCTAGTGCTTGTTAACAATCACGGGTTGAACCCAGCTCTGTGATCAGTTGTGTCGCTGTTCGTCGACACCTTTGAACGGGATGTGAGCACATCTGACTGCACGTCGAAGTCTCAATTGAACAGTCCAACTGCAACTTGAGATACAGATTTGATGTAGTCGAGGATCCGGACATAAACGCAATACTTAACGGTGTTAATAACTGGCGGACCTCTTGCGAAGCTCATCATAGGATCGAGTCAGTGGGGTAGGCGGCATCATGCATGGTAAAAGGGTCTGCAAAACGATACTGAGTTGAACATCGATTCAACCGTGACGAGGTCAAACCGTTGAAACCCAATTAAAAACCCAGTTAACAGGGTGTTGGATTGTGACGAGACAATCCGGACGCCAAACATTAGGGTTAGTAGATTAGGGTTTGAGGGTTAGAGTCGGAATTAGATCGAGTTAGACCCGAATCTAGGTTGCGTGACTCGGAGTAAGGGGAGTACCCCAGATCTGGAAGTCTCTAGAAGTAGATCTGGGTAGGCCGGAAGTTAGGACAGAGACCTGACTCGAACCTGCATCATAACAAGAGTGTGCCTTTGTGCAATTGAGAGTGAAGGGCGCCTCCCATGTGCTTTGTGTGAACCTCTGCATCCATGTGTGCTGTCTCTAGCTGATTTCCAACAGGTTATGGGCCCACCATTGCAAGGGTGAATCTGCTGTTGCGGGGTGAAGTCAGCGCTGAGAGAGAAGCCGTGTGGTGTAGAGAGCCTGTCCTGACAGAGCCTGGGTGAATTCTTGAAGCTTGAGGGAGTAGAGAATTCAGAAGGCAGCAATGGGGAGCTTAAAGATAACGATGGAGCCTCTCTCGGAGGGGAACTACCACTCCTGGTCGATCAAGATGAAGAGTTATCTGATCACCAAGAGTCTGTGGAAGGGAGTAACGGATCCTTCAGCAAACGCTGAGGAGTCAGAGCAGGCGTTGGCACTGATCACGTTGAACGTGGCAGATCATCTGCTCGGGAGCCTGTCAGAGCTTGCAAACGCTGGGAAAGCGTGGAAGCAGCTGGAGAGTACTTTCAAGAGCAAGAGCGTGGCTCGGAAGTTGCAGCTAAAGAGGGAGCTGCAGACACTCAAGATGAAGGGAGAGGAGAGTGACACTAATCTCTTCCGGGACTCCTACGCCTTCCTCTCGTGCCCCGAGCTGAACACGAGCTTCCACGAGACCACCTACAATCGATCCCTCACCAACGCCATTGCACCGGCGGTGTCCAACGCGTTCGCGAGGCTGGCGATGTTTGGGGAGTCTGGCGGAGTGACTTTCTACTCGACCAACACGGCGACCATGGTCAGGAAGGTCTTCAAACCGCCCCTAGCCAAGCTGGATCAGATGGAGTTTATGTGGCTGCGCAAGGACGGAACGCCTGTAGATTTTCAGGGCTTGGATAACTCTTTCATCCTGCGCTTCAATTGCCGAGGAAGGTCCCTCGGCATGCCGCAGCTCACGGCACGCACCTGAGCGAGGCGACACGGCTGCGACAATTTTCCAATACAACTGGTAGAGTCGCAAGATGGGGAAGACCACCCTCAACGCAGAGAAGTTTCTGCTCCCCATATCGGGGGACGAGCTGAGCTTTAGGGAAGCCCCCTGGAACCAGAACCTGACTGGTGGAAACTGCTACTCGTTCAGTCTCAACACAGACAAGGCGTCGGCGACCGAGAAACCGCAGCCGGGAGACATCGCGGTCGTCTATTCGGACATGCACGAGCCCTACAAACTGCTCGAGCCCTTTGATCTGACCGACTGCACCACGTTGCAGAGGCGGGTCATGGCAGACGGTATCGCGATGAAACGCATCATGGACAGAAGCAATGACGGAGAGCTCTTCGATCACCTGAAGACCGTGATACGAATCGGCAAGATGAATGACAAGCCGCCGAGGGGCACGTACAAGATAGCAGCGGTGATAGACAAGGGCAACGACTATCATTTCTTCAGGCAGGACGTGTTGGACATCTACAACCTCTATACGTGTCCGATCTACGTCTACAGGAACGGCAAGACCTTCTCGGCCCCCAAGAACCCTTACCAAGTCTTGCAGATCGATGCCTTCACGAGCGGCAACTCTATAATGGACATGTACGACAGCAAGAGAAGGTACGACGAAGCGACGAAAGATGCCTTCAAGAAGTTGACACGCGACTTTGGCCCGGCCTTCGAGGGAGCTCCCGCTCATCTCAACAGGGCGATCACCAACGTCACCATACACGTGCGTCGCATGCCCAGATACGTCATAGAAGAAGGAAATCTCATCGTGGACCCATTCTGGCTCCTCGACACCCCCGACGATGGCACGGGACTCAAGAAGAAAGGAGACGCGCTGTACGACTTCTTCGTGAGGACCGATCGGCAGTTGCACGCCCTGACGGTGCAGGCGGCCCTCCGCGATTGCGAGCGCATACTCCGCGACCGCACTCTGGCTCCTCAGAAGCACCAGCTGATAGGGCTCTGGAGTCAGAAGCTCGGCTTCGCGACTCCGGCCATCAACACGGACGGCTTCATGAAGCTCATCTTTGACCCGAGGCGAGCCATGAGGCAATTCGGAAACGGCTCTAGCGGCTTCCAGTACAAGGTGTTCTGCACCGCCTTCTACGTGGACAGGAACCACGGCATCACGAGCGTCCCCCAAGGTCTCGGAGAGTTCGGCCTCGCGTGATTTTCGGACGGAGTGTGAAAAAAACTTCTGCGTTACAGTCTGTTCAGAATAAAATGGCACACTCGCCACAGTACTCAGCCGTATCTCGGGTTCTCACCGAGGTGCCTAGATGAACTCGTTTCTAGGCAGCTATGTCTTCGAACTATCTATCTGATAGCCCCAGACTCCTGCTCTCGTAAACTCCGCTGGCCTGTCCTGGCCTCTTGCTATGCGCATACAGATCCAAGCTATGTTACGAGCTGCGTTGACGTCTCTATTCCACACCATGCGACAGAACGGGTTAGTACACGCTCGCACGTTGTGGCACGTCTTGTAGCTCGTCCTCCCTCGTCCGTCCTCGTCCTCTCGACCCCCTCCCTCGGTCACCGTCTGGATCCCATCCTCCGTCACATGCTGCCTCTTAAGCACGGCGAACTTGTCGACGTCCGAGTGGCATGTGCTGCACACCTAGCTCGTCCTGTACTCGTCTATCATGACGACCGTCGCCCCGTGATGGCTGCTGAGGCGCCTCTTCACCGACTCACACGGACCACACTGCCTCTTGGTCCTACCCGCCCACACCTGTGCGGCCCCGAAAGCCACCACGGTCTTCTTCCCTGCCGTGATCCTCTTGCAAGCTCTGTCTACCTCGATCTGCCTCTTGATCGTCACTCTCCGCCTCAGCTTTCGGACCCTCCTCGCGGTGTGAAAGCGTACCAAACAGTACAGGTTCGCAGCGACGAAGGTCACCCTCTTCCCAAACTCCTCCAGGCTCACGGTGGTCCCGGGAGGAGCATTCTCGTTGAAGGCTGCCACATCCAGGTCTCTGGACATCCAGGTGTGCATGAGGAACGTCCGTTTCTTGAATCCCGCTCGGTGGTAGAAGTCCCTGGTCCCCAGGTCGATGATCTCTTCCTGGCGCTCGATTCCGTCCCAGTCGCCGGTCACGGCGATGCCGGTGAGGAAGTCGGGATGCTTTCCTGGGTCCAATCCCACCACGCGCTGCTTGGGGTGGATATGCACCGCTCGGTCCTCCGGAGGGGGCGTCCTCTTCTCCACCAAGAAGTACACGCTTGCGGACACTCCGTCCGTCGTGATCCGGTCTGCGAAGGTCTTCCCACCGCTCTCCAGTCGTCCGATTGAGGGAAAAGCATCGTGGAGCTCTCCCGGAGCCTTTCTCTTGCCGCTCTTGGGCTGCAGCTCGGGCCATATGGTGGGAGTCACCGCGATGAAAGGTGCCGAGAAGGAGGCGTGAGGCACCAGCGAGAAAGACCGCAGCTCGCGGTCCGAGAACTCCTCGCTGATGATCCTCATCCAGCGCAT